AAACAAGGTCTTAATCACAGAATCATAGAATAGTTAAGGTTGGAAGGAACCCTTGGATCATCTGGTTCCATCTTCCCTGCAATGAGCAGGAACATCAAATACACACCTTGTTCTAGGTCAGGGGAATGCTGAATCTGTGAGACATGCTGCACCAATAATCTGAATGCATGTTGTGAACCCTGATGGAGGTTTTCCAGACATCCTGCTACTCTTACAGAAATCTTGGACAAAAGCTGTGAAGCCACTTCTATTGTAGCTGTCCCTGTTCCCTCGTATCCACATTTTCTTCACCAAAAAAAAGAAAAATTGTCTTCCCACTTTCTTCTACATATATTTCCAAGTATATGGGAGTCATCACACGGAGAAGAAACTGTACTGTTTCTTGGTTTCCCTTTCCAGCTATTATTATTGCAGTTTTTTTGCTAGTGCAATCTTCTTGATCTGTGCACTGTAGAAGATTAGTGATTTTTGCCTCTGCTGTTAATGTCATGACATTTCTCTACAAGACTGCTCATCTTGAAACATTACACTGAGAATGAAGATCCATGCATTTGTTACCCTAATCCTGACTTCCAGAAATAGTCAACCTCTTTCCCTACTTCTGAGAAATATATTTTCTATCTCCTCTGTGTATTTCAGCACCTGTAACAGTCCTCTGTAGAGAAATGGGAAAACAATGGTGGTATTAGTGAAAAATACATCTTTGGGTACTTATGAAATATGAAATAGTTTTTTTGACCATTTTATTATCAATATTAGGGGGTTTTTAACTGTTGTATCAGTTAATGATATCCATCTTTACTAGGAAAGGACAGTGACATTACCCAGACACAGCCTTCTCAGACAAAGTCTAAAAATTACTCTATCATTACTATTGATAGTATGAAATGATGTCTGGTGCCTTTGAAGAAGCCATGTGCAGATTGTTATATAAAGAATTTAAAAAGAGCCTTAATGATGTTTGATTTGAAGTATCAGTTAAACATTTCTCATATCACATTGACAATTCTCAGCACACATTGAGAGAACTAATTGTTTATCATATTTACCAGTACCAGGTCCACTTTATGATGTGAACAGCCAACTTAATGAAGTATGTGGATGTGCTAATCTTCCTGAGCTCTCTCCAGAGCCGGGAATACATTCCCCAGCACTGAGATGTTCAGAGAAGTCAGTGTCATAAACATGCCCATTTGCATGGTGTTGTACCCCAGAAAGAGCAAATTCGTTGAACAGTTGCAGGCTGTCTCTGCAGTAAAATTTGAAGTGAACAAGTCTGGGCAGAGTCTGACAAATGTCAGGAAAGTATCTGAGGTGTTGTGGTTCAAGACTCTTCCCCCTCCCTAAAGCAGGAATATCTTTGGACATTTGACTACATTTTTAGACCAGTGTCTAAAACCTTCTAATTCCATCCAGATGAAATCTGCAAGAAGAAAGACACTATGTCTAAGCATCTCAGATATACAAAGACATTATAGAAGAGAAAATGGCAGAAAACATTAGTGTTCAGCAACAAAGCTAATCATGCAGAAGTGGGTGCCTGAATTTAGCTAATGATTTTAAACTACTTTACAGCCTAATAAACTTAGATTGCTCCAGTGGGAATTTCCTGTGAAGAGCAGACTCAGTCCTGCAGTCAATCCATTAGTTAAGCTATCTTTCTTCTTGTGAGTAATGTTATTTGCATTTCTGTAGGCTTATTCAGAGAGAGAATATGGCTGTATGGAAATAGACTGTATGAAAGGAAGTAATGTAAATATTTGTAAGAGGACAGTACTCTTCCAGAAGTCTAAAGGACATTCTATAAGTAATCTGTAGTTACTTCAACAGGTAAATGTAACAAATGTTTATACTAAGAGACAAAAAGTTTGTATTTATCTTGACTGAATGTATGGTTGAGAGAAATTCTGCATTAAGGCCTGTTCCATATATGACTACTGTCCACAGTAATTTTTAATTTGAAGACAGAAGTGAAATTATGTTCTTATGTAATCTTGTTTGTGGGAGAACTTTTCTCAGTATAAAAAAAGAGAAAGGCATACTATTTCATTCTCTCTTCTTATTTCAAAACTGGCTGAATTAGGAAGCTGATATGTGAATATTTTTATCAAAGGACAAATATTAATGAGTTTGGAGAATATAATAAGGAATGAGAATTTCTGTGACAATAATTTAGAAAGAGAAAAAAAACCAAAACCAAACAACCAAGTAAAAAAACAACTGTTAGAGTGTGAGAGTGTTGGACAGAAAATACAAAATACCTGCACATAGGATTCAGGAAATATGTTTTCCTGAGGGCATTAGAAAAATACTGGTCAACTATAGTTCAACTTGTCTGGTAGAATGCTCTTTGCTGCTTCCTGCTGCCCACACTATTGTCTGCTCAGAGTTCTGGCACATATCATCACAGCTTTCCATTGCTGACATCACCTGATTGCACGATTCATTCAAGTGAGTTAAGCCTAGTAACTCCAAAATATGTAGCAGCAGTCAAAAGAAACTGAACTCCAACCTACACAGCAATTTTCTGCTTGGTAGCCCCATACAGCTGGCTCTGCTCAGGGTAGCCAGTGTTACAGCAGTAAAGCCAGCCAGAATTGCTGTAATTCAAGGGAAGATGTGGCCTCTTAATTTTTTATCCTGATGTTTGGGTTTTACTTAAACCCCCATCCCCCACAACCTTGCAGAATTATTGTTTCCTGAATACATTGTTTCCACAAGTACTGGCAGTCCTGACATTGATAGGCAGTGAATCAATACTTTCATGGAATCATGAAGCCAAAATGGTTCTGCAGATCCACAGTGTGCAGTATGTGGTTTTCCATTTTGGATATAATAACTGCAATTTGAAATACTCTCCCACAAGCATCGATTGCCTGCTTTAGGAAATTCACAATAGAGACTTTAATTAGGAAAAAAGAAACTGCATCATGCCATTTAAAAAGGAAAAATTCGCACAAGATTTTTTTTTTTCCAGTTTTGGGCTATAATAGCAATAACTGTCTTTAGCTGAGGACATTTCCTGGGGCTTAATGGCCCATGGTTTTGCTTCTTCAGGTGATCATCATCATCTCCCAACAGTCATTAATCCCCTACAAGTGCCCTGCACCTCAGTCATTAAATGTGCTTAAATGTGCTTTTTCTGAAAATGAAATACTTCTATATTTAATGCATCTTCCAGGAATAGGAGTGATCTTTCTGAGGTGACGAATGAAAGAAATTTAGTAACGTGTCAAAGAAGTACTAATTATGACAAGTGGATAAGTTCTGTTTCTGGAGATAGCATGACAAAGTATTTTTCCACAGTAAGAGCATGTTATGTGTAAGTCATCATTTTACATATGTCATGATTCACACTCATCCCAACTGCATAACAGCCAAATCAGGAATACAGGTAGTTATTTGTAGTTAGATTTTTTTTGCAGAGTGTCTCAGTATAAAAATAAAGCATCTCACAAAACATGGATAGTGTGTGCCTGCAGCACTGCTTAGAAAAAAACTTTCCATTCGTAGCTGTAAAAACAGAGCTGTGCAGTTTTACAAGGTGTTTGTGATAATGCAAGAAAAGAAAAGAAGTTAAATCTTTTCTACCTAAGGTCTGAAACTCTTAGAAATAAATCTTCTGGTGAGCATTTTATGCGTCTCTTACCAATAGGTCCTCAAGTACAGCACCAACTGCATCATCAGATTTTTAAACACAGTAGACTGCCTACCCTTGCTCAAGTAGAATTAATGCCTTCAACAAAAGCAGTTGAAAGGAATTTGTCTTGATTGAATGAGAATTGAATTTTATTTTATTTTATTTGAATTCTACTTACTGATACAGTGTGTTATTTTCATCCTGTGCTAAGAATGCATAGCTGTCCCAGATTGTGAGAGGGATCAGACCTGATCCTGTCACATTGCCTTCACTGAGTGAAAAATTAGTACCTCTTAGGTATTATGGTAATTTATTATTTATGTTGGACATTGTGATCTCATGTACCTCAGTGAGTGACTATGTAGATGAAAACAGAAAGAACTTTGGGCATGCATTGTTAAATGTTGAATGTTAGATGATGTTATTTGTAAAATTTGAGCTCTCCTAGTCAATACTCTTTGATTGCAGATTAACCTGAAAAAGAAATTATTATAACCTGACTTCACAATTTCTTTTCAAAATTTTCTGTTCCTTCAAACAAACAAAAAATCACACGAACAAAGTATCTTTCAGTATAAATGGAACTCACAGTAAAAAATTTCATTTACTTCAGTAACCAATAACAACTGCCTTAATTTTGCAATTTTCTGAGTTAGAATAATTTTTCTGTGTGAAAGTCAAAGGTTTCTTTCAGAAATACAAAATGACACATACCTACATATGCACACACATTTTATCTGGCTCTCCTTCTTGTTTTTTGGACAGAGCTATTACCTGAGTTAGACTTCACTCTAGAATTATTCCTACTCATCCTAAGGCAGTTTTCAGCAAATAAACTAGTGAAAAAAAGTTCTTAGATCTCTCATTGAGTTCACTGACTAAGAAAAAATAAAATTGCACAGAGCCAAGGACAAGACAAAAAGGATTGCACCTTTAAGTTGTTTCCAATCTACTTTATATCTCATCATAAATAGCAGGCTGGGAAATAAGCACTGATCTATTGTACTGCAGCTGGAACACTTCTTTTGCCATAGATTCTGTTTAAGGCTACTTTGATTATTTGTACCCTATCATGTAACTTACAGTGTCAGCATTCTTCAAACCATTTGTCAAAATTCAACAGGAATGCACACAAGAAAGAGTCAGAGAAAAAAGAAAGCTTTTTTCCGTGAAATTTTTTTCTGTGAAATTTTTTCACTTTCCTAAAGTGCATTTATTAGTATGCTTAGAATTCTTGTATAATTTTTCTACTTAGGAGTTCTCTGTTTTCACCCATTCATTATATTTACAGATAAGTAGAATTAAAAAAAAAAACACAAAAACTTATATAATATTTCTCATTTTATATTCTGTGTTGTAGGTCTTGTTTTCCCTCTGTGCTGCATTCTGGGGAATCCAAATCATGAAGCGGATCACTTCGTGCAAAGATAAACGTCACTGAAAGAGCAAATCTATCTCTTTAATTATGGAAACAGCACTTTAGAATAATGTTCTAAGTTCCTTGGAATTAATCAACCATGAATCTTACCTAATTGCAATCAGTTCAGTTATGATAGGAGAGGTTTGTGATTTGGTAAGAATGTTTGAAAGCTTCTTTAGAGGGCGTATTCATTTTTATTTGATTTTTTTAAAGAAATATTTAATTTCTCCCCAATTTAAATAAAACGTTCATTCACAACATGGATTTTTTACGTTCATAGGATTGCAAATTTTTGGAAACCATGTAAAACTAATTTCATTTTTGCAGTAATTTTGTTCGTAATTATATGTGAAAAGTATTTTTCACAAGAGGAATTATTAAAATCATATTTGTTGTAACCCGGTGTAAAGTGACTGACTGTCTTCCTAGTGAGGCTAAACATAAACATATGTGAATGTCGGTTTTTCTGTAATGATTGAATTACACCAGAATCTCCCTGTCATGCCCAATTCAGTGTTCATAACATACAGCTACATGAGGATGAGTAGTCGTAGCAAGAAAATGATTAAAACCAGCATGATAAAATAACTCGAACTAGTATGAGTTGAAACATCTTAAATAAAATTGGCTGATGTATGTGTTGTATAATGCAGACATGCCGTTTAGGGAGAATTATTTATGGAGTACACCTGTGTTGCCAACTTTAGATACTTATAAAGCCAGAATTTACATGTGGGTATCCCATTGACTAATGTTACTCACATGACAAAATATTTGTGAGGCTGGGCTCTTAATTTCTGGTAATTTCCTGCCTGGGTTATGTCCGGGGAGATGCACATCTTGTCTTTCAGGAGCTGTTGGAAAGACGGTTTGTACTAAGATAGGAAAATTAAATACAAATGGTAAAGGGAGTCTCCAAACAGCAGGACTGGCAAAAATACTGAATCTAGTTTGTTTTTCTTTCCTCACACTCATCCAAAATTTTTTTTTGGCTCCAAGCCTTTTAGAAGTGCTTAAAGTCAAGTAGCTAAAAAATGGAGGCTGTCTTGCATGCTTCAAACTGGTAATAATACCTGGATTTAAGAATGAGTTTAAGTTTGTGTTGGGTTTTTTTCCCATTTAATTTTCCTTTAAAATGTTAATGACAGTCTAACAGACATCTCAGATTTAGACAGATAGCCTAGTTTTAATTAACCAATATTTTCAGTCTCTAGCTGTAACAGATGCCACTGTTTACATAATTGGATGTTTCCAATAAATTTTCAGAAACACAGTAATATCATATAAATAAAATTGCTACAATGTGTGGAATTAGTATCATCTTAATTTTGTCATAGGATCATCAAAATGCTTGGGTTGGAAGGGAACTTAAAGATATTTAATAGAATATTTAATAAAGTAATAGAATCTGATTCCAGAAGTACAACACAATCTACAAACTTCTTTGGTGATCCCATAGGTTAGCATACCTGTGTTTTCCAAACTTGTAATGGTGACATCAACCTCACAGGAATATTTTGAGGTCAGTTTAATATAATGACTTAAGTAACATAACAAAGAGTCATATTGGAAGTCAGTTTCCTTATCAAAATAAGTCCTCCAAAGAGACAGGAACAGGACAAAAATTTAACATCTTCTGCATTTAAAAATTGACAGTCTTAGAGGGACAACAATGAAGAACTGAGTAAAATTAAATTAATTTCAAAGCTATCCTAATGAATGTCATGTATTTACACGAAGTAATGAAAAGAATGTAATTTCAAAGGCAAATATAAAATGCGTCTGATGAAGGCAACCTAGTCATTAAAGCAAAGGCCAAATAAATTTCCACTTTTCCAAGGGTTTTTAAATCCCAATTTCCTATTTCCAAGGACTTGCCATTGTGTATAGGTTGTTTGAAAGAGAGGAGCAACATTCTTCATTGCATATTTATCAATAGGGTCTGAGAACACCTCCTCTGGCTGAAGGCTTGAACAGACTCCTTGTGGGTGTTGGAGACTCGTGCTTTACAATAACATACCCTGGATATATATAAGCAATCCTTTGGATACAGACTGGAAGCTAGGATTTGCCCTTTTTGGAGAAGAGAGTTTCAAGGACAAGCTCATAGAAACACCCTTGACTGCATCATTGTTTTAGTAGCTATGTGATATGTAGCTATAGTCCTGTCAACTTGCCTGTAACAAATTTTTTAAAATATAAACTATTTCATATTTTAGGCACCTGACTAGATCCACTATTGGATCTAGTTCATGCTGTCTTTATAGCCACTACATAGAGTGAAATAATCCTTCGAAAGGTCTCTAGGTTTAAATAATTAAGAGACTCTGGAGACTAATTGGCCAGTGAATTGAATTATGTGCAGTTAATATACATCATACAGTTAATTGAATTAATTTGATGCAAACAGCGTTCATTGCTAGCACATATGGGTGATATTTTGGTAAATCACTTAATCCTCTCACCTTTTTAGTATTCCATTTAGTATGGGATTGAGTGAAATCAGGTGAATTACATGAGGAAATTAGTGAACAAAATATTTATGCAGAACTAATAAATTTTATGCAAGTAACTATCTTTCTTTTAGAAAACCAATCTTTCACATCTCTGGAAAGAAAAATATTCTGCAGACTAACAGCCTAGCCTCACATGTCCAAGTGAGGAACTTCATAAATAGCATTTGTAATTTGCACTATTGCATAAGACTTCCTTTTGGTCTTGTTTGTCATTCAACTTCACGGGGACACACCTTAGGAGAAAAATGTAGATAAACAAAACTTTTTTTCATCAGGATTGTGAAAAAAAAGACTTCCCCTGCTCCTACTAGCTGTTGTAATGTCACATCTCTACACATGGCCTTTCCTGGACTATGTACACAGCAATATCAAGTCACTGAAAACCCAGAAGTAAGCAGCTGAATCCTGTGTCACTTGGGATCTGATTCACCATTCAAGTCATTGAAAACTTGCTGCTGACCTCAGGATCAGGGCAGAGCATTCCCTGTATGAAACCAAGAATGATGCAATATTTACTGCAACTCAAGCTTCAGTGCAGTGCATTGATTAAAAAGTAATGGAATTACACAATTACCTATTCCTGAAAGTAGCTAACATTGTATCCTTTATGTTATAATAAAATCAGAGCCCTTTGCAGGATAAATGCTGATAGCTATAGCTGTAAGCTATGTATACCAGATACAGAAGACTCAGGACCCCTTCCTCTTGTCTTTCCTGTCTTCAGCTTTCTCAAATCTGTGGGATTAGGGACATTGTTGCTTAAACCATATCTGAAAGGAGGTAGTTGATCAAATATTTTAAAGCTACCTTTTTACAGACAAATGTCTGTGAGCTTTCAGGAATTTATATTGTGCGATTAGAAACTACTAAATTGTATGGCACCAATGGTAATAGTTGTCTGGACTTTTCTTACTTGTTCTTTAACTAGGGATAAAGAAAGAGCTAAGTCTCAGCAATGGAGTTCATCAAGAAGAATAGTAACTCCCAGAGAATGCTCAAAGCACTGCCTATTATGCAAACTCTGCTGCCCTTAGTTGACATTTTTCTTAAAACTCTGGCTCCTGGAATCATGTGAATGAAAAAAATATTTCTGCCTGCTGAAAGTAAGAGCTATAGAAAGTTCAAAATCTAAAAGACAAACAAGAAGATTTTAATAGGTAATATTTTAAAATATTTTCCCTTTTTAAAACACCCTAGTGATTGCAGGAGGCTTGACTCATGGTTTTTACACTCTTGGGATTGCTAATGCTGAATGGGAAAAAAACTATTCTTGATCTATCCTTTTTCCGTAAAACCTCTGGTTCCAGCACAGGCATATACAATGACCATGAGGCAGTTTTGCTGGGTTTCGTGGTTCCGTGCTGGCATTTGGCCAGCAATTCAGTTTGGAATTAAAACAAAGGGCCGCAAGCTGGCTCTCTGAGGGCCCCTGACCCTCAGTAACTCCCAGCGCATGCAGACCTCAGCCACGGTATGTCCTGTTGCCTTCCACCCCCAGCAGTTCTGGGCCTAGAAAACAAAAGATGTCCTGTGGACTTCAGGATTTTCTCTTTCTATAGGGGAAATAAGTGTTAAAATACTGCATTTGAAACTCAGATACAAACCATGAGGTAAAGTAAAAATAAGGTATCTCACATGCTGGAGAAGCACTTCCATATTAGTATCAAGGCCAATGGAAAACTTGGCTCAGTTCTTTGTCAGTTTTGCCCCACCTATGGAAAACAGCAGAAAAATGTGGAAACATTGAGTAAGACTGAACTGTTGAGTGTCCTTGTGTTTATGGTTTGGCACAGTAAAGTGATACAAAATGAATTCTCTCCACCCCACCCCTTGCTATATTTTTACTGCTTCCTCCTGTATTCTTTCTTCCTATTTCTCTCTCTCTCTCTCATGTTTATTTATCTTTGTAAAATATCCTTTCCTGTCTTGCTTTAGGTTTGCTATGTGTGGAGGTACATATGGCATATTTCATATACACAAATATTTCATTTTCTTTTAATAGATGAAACCAAAAATACTTACCTAAAGGTGCCTACTTTCTTTACTGTTCCTGTCAGTCAACAGACTCTTTTAATATTCAAAACACACAATATATGGCTCATGAATTGTTAGTGTTGTATTTATTTATTTCATATGTGTCTGCCTAGTGTCCTCTAATGATTCACTTTCTATTTACACTCCAGTAACATAGCAGTGTTCTTTTCCCTATTTCTACTTCCTCTCCTGTTTCTTTGATATTAATTCCTTGGAGTTACTTTTTGTCTCATAGCTGTCACCGTCTTTTTGGTTCAGGGTGTACCACTGCAGTTTTTATGGACCATTTTGTAACCTGCTGGTTTTAGCGTGGCAGAGAGCCGAGTAATAATAATGTTGATTAAAAAGAGATTAAATAAATAAAGAAAGTCATGGAACATTTTATGCACTATGAAATTTGTAGTGTTTCTGCTACTTACATTTTTCCACAAACTTTGCATGTAACTACTTATCAGCATGTAAATTACAATTATAGACATGTTTACCAGGAAACAAAAATACCATTAAGACAATTGAGCTACAATTTTTAAATCAAAGAATAGCTTATTAACTTACAGAGTGTGATCACGTCTTTTGTTAGTGTCTGTCTGCATTGAGGTCATGAGCCTGTTATTTGAAGATAATGGCATTACTCTTTGCTTCAAGTAGCAGCATTTGCGATTTCAGATCTAACAGCCCTTTACCTTCTCTCCACTCATGACTCACCACTGACTCATTACCTTTAATCATTCTGAAAGCACAGGTTTTATTTTTGCTCTTCTTTTAATCACAATGCAAAAAAATGCTTTGAAGGAAGGTAAAATGTTATACACTGCAGCAGTGTAGGTATGTACCAACATGCTTACTTTTGTAAATCTTCAAGTATTCCCAGTTTCTTATCCATGACCACAAACTGGATTTCACAGCAATGTCTAACAGAGGAAAGCCTGACAATCAGGGATTGGTGGGAGTAATTAAAGGCAAGTTTCTGAGATTCTGACAGCAAAGTTTGTCATTGAAGGTCAGATCACCTTTGGTTTTATTTATATATTATTTATTTTAACTGAAATACAGCTATAAGAGAGAAGTAACATATTCATGACTTCATGGCCAATAATAAGAT